TTTGTTATGTAAAATAGAAACAGAGAGAAAGATAAACTAGGAGATAATCTAAGATAAACCGGGATAAACCTAAAATGCCCAGCGAGGTGAAGCACGGACCCTCAGAGTTAGAAGGAAGCCCAAAGGCTGCTCACAGTAACGCACCCTCCCCCCAGGCTTCAGCGGCCTGTGGGCAATGACCCTGACGGCTGCCTGCCCTCTGCACTTGGCAGGGAAACTCACTTTGAGATTCTTTTGTATGGAAAATCATTCCTTGGTAGATTAAAAAAAATATTATTCGGCTTAGCAATGATTACAAAATATATTTATACAAATCCATAGTAAAATCTATTGGCCCAGCCGGGCCAGCGTGGCTCAGTGGTTGAGCGTCAACCTATGAACCAGGAGGTCACGGTTCTATTCCTGGTCAAGGCACCTGCCCGGGTTGCAGGCTCTGATCCCCAGTGTGGGGCGTGCAGGAGGCAGCCGATCCATGACTCTCTCTCATCATTGATGCTTCTATCTCTCTCTCCCTCTTCCTTCCTCTCAATGGAAATATATATATTTTTTAAAAATCTATTGGCCCTAAGGTGCTATGCCTGGAAGGGCCCTGAGAGAAGGGAAGAGGGAGGAAAGGGAAGGGAAGGCAAAAAATGAAAGAAAGCAGGTGTCAGGGATACGAGGACATTCCAGCCAGAATTAGAGAGGTTTAGGAGGCCAAGGGTGGGTGGTGGTTAAAAGCAAAAGACGATGAAGTTTGTTGAACTTGAATGTGACCCTGCTACCCCTCAACTCTTCTGAGACTCCGGGTCACTGGGGTGAGAGGAGGCTAGGCCACGTGTGCACTGCCAGCCTCGATGGCTCAACGCCCGGCTGTCTGGGACTCCCGCCTCCGTCTGAGCAACGCCGTCCACTTCCCGAGCCCCAGTCTTCTCCCCGTGACCTGGGCTGACAACTCTCATCTCAGGGGTCGCTGTCCATGTGAAGCGAAGGGCGCAGGAGCGCGGCCGGGCTCCGGGAAGCTGTGTGCGTGCTGGCTGGGCTCAGTCCTGTCTGTCCCACACCAGACACACAGCAGGTTGGTCGTTGCCTGGGGAGAATCTATCAAATTGATTGGCTCTTGTAACAATCTATCAGGTTGATGGACGGCAGGTGGGGGGGGCGGCAGGGGGCAGTGAGGGGGTGTAAAACATTCGCCTAAGGAGGAAAAGGGTGGCGTTTGTTCCATGTGTCCTTGGAGCCGTGGCCCGCGTTTCAAGCCTGGGGGTGGCCTTGAGAACAACCCCTCCGGCTTTTCTGCAGATCACCTTGCACTTCCGTCCGGCTTTAGCCTGTATCGTTTTCCCAAAATACTAAGTAGGTTAGGCAATTCCTCCAGGGCCCTGGATGCTCACGTCCCTGCCATGCTGATGCTGCATTTGTTTACCCGGAGGGATCCAGGTGAGGAGAGCCCGACCCCGCCTTCCTCTGAGTCCTCTCCCCACACGGGGATGTGTGGCCAGCAGCGCCTTGAGACAGGGAACGACCTCAGCCTGCCCCCCTCGCCCCTCCGGCCCCTGCACAAAGGACTTGGAGGGGAAAGCTGAGAGCCTGCTCAGGGATGCCGGCCGCACCAGAGAAAGACAGGCTGCTGTTGGCATCATGTGCATGGATCAGGGCTCAGAAAGCCCAATTCCGCGTCTTTATGCCGCTTCTTTAACTCCCAGCAGCGGTCAGTCCTTGTTAGTGTCAGCTTTCTGCTGAAACCAGGGCAGGGGCGGCGGGCACCAGGGGTGGTGGGTCCCCTCCTCCGTCATTAGCAGACTCCGCCCCTCTGGTCTCCCCTTCTTAGCAGCCAGCCCCCAGCAGATGGCTTGGTTTCTGGAGGCCACCAGAGGGACAACAAAGCTTTTCCGTGCCCATTGGAAACATTATTTACAGTGACCATGCCTACTTCCTCTCCAGTCCCCCTCCGGTGACCACTAAGATCCCGTATCAGGAACCGAGTGTGTGGTTTCCGGAGGGAAAAGGCCCACGGGCACCCAGGACGGGACTCCGAGTGCTGTCGGATGTCAGAAGGAAGGCCTCCTGCGTGGGAGCCGAGAGCCAAGCAGCCAAGCGGCTCACACCAGCCTCATCTCAGCCCCAACTCACCTGCCGGCTCAGGAGGCTCTCCAGCCCTGGCGGGGAGAGGGCCAGGAGGAAGCGACGCCAGCCATTCAGACAGAACTCTTTACTGCCATCGATCGCCCGTAATCAATAACTTCTTCTCAATAAGCAAGTCTCACAGTCCACCCGCCCTCCACGAGCCTCCTGTGCCACGCACTGCCCGCCGGAGTTTCTCCTTTAACGTGGGAATCTCCTCCGCCCTCTGCCAGCGACCCCCGTGACTGGAAGTCTGAAAGAGAGCTGTGTTTGCAACGAATAAAAGCAGGGCCAGCCCGCCAGGCCCTCCGCCTGCCAGAGATTTGCAAGTGCGCACGCTCTCCCTCGCACAGCAAGGCCATGGGGGCCCCATTCCAGCTCCCCCACCACATGCCCCTTTAGTAATAACTCAGCCCCCGAGGGGGTTGTCTCCGCTGGCGAGTGGCCTCGGGGCCTCAAGTTATCAAAATACTAATGCGACCGATTTATCAGCCCCGGCGGATGGAGTATCAGAGGTTGTGGGGGAGGGGCACCTGGCCAGGCCTGTGCCCCTGGCCTTCCTGGGACCCTCCACAGAAGACTGGCTCAGGCCTGGTGTCAGTTAGACCACCACCCCCACCTCCCGAGGGGGTTGTCTCCGCTGGCGAGTGGCCTCGGGGGCCTCAAGTTATCAAAATACTAATGCGACTGATTTATCAGCCCCGGTGGATGTTGTATCAGAGGTTGTGGGGGAGGGGCACCTGGCCTGGCCTGTGCCCCTGGCCTTCCTGGGACCCTTCACAGAAGACTGGCTCAGGCCTGGTGTCAGTTAGACACCCCCCCACCCCCACCCCAGGGACCAAGGGCAAAGGAGGGCTGGATGGTGTAGTAAACCTGGTGGTTCTTAGGATTCCTGGAATCTGGCACAGGGACCCTGTGGAGTCTCCTTATGGATCATCTCACCGCCTGCCAACGCGGGGACGCCGGCCCTGGTGGCTCGGGGAAGGGCTCCAGCGGAACCGGGCACGGCGCTGAGTAACGTTAAGTCACAGTGAGCACGACTCCCTTCCAAGTCTCTTTCAACCTTCACAGGCGCCAAGGGGGTTTCTGACTCAGGTGCTCCCGTGCCTCCCGCACCTGCTGACCTCCCTCCTCGCGAGAGCGGCCCCGGGCCCAGCCGCCGTGGGAGCGGAACCTCTAGCAGCTGGCAGCGGCGTTTGGCTTTGGTGATATTTGTTTTCATAGTGACCTTATATTTGCAGCAAGTTGTACTGCATTTCCATTTGCTTTCATGATACCGAGTTTCCCTTTAAAGCACATATAATTAAGGTAAACATCAGAGGATTCAAATTTACAAATTAAATCAGTAATAGTCTGGGTGGTATATGGATATAACAGTACAGGGCGCAGTGAAAGTGGTTTACAGCTGAGTACATGGAACACAGTGTTTATTCTTGTGTTATTATTTATTAATTATTCTACTCTTTTCCATAGGAACAACTATAAACCTGCTTTC